ACGCAGCCCCACACGCAATAATTTAGATGTTGGCTTACCTCAACTCGAAGCGGCCACACGGCTCAGCCCATTCGGGGGTGCAACGCACGGACCTCACTATGGAGGTCCCGCCTTCTTGATCGCGAGATCCTCCAACCAGGTAACCTTCTGAGGGCCGCCGGCCGCCAGCGCATGTGTGGCCGCTTCGTATATTCCGCTTGTTCCAACTTCAATTCGACCTCGTTAGGGGAGACGCAGATATCACAGACGCCATTTTCTCAGCGTCGTGCTACACCATTACATGCACGCTCGCTCCCATTGCTGATCAGCTGATAGTCAGCCGCTTACTGATGAAATACAAGATTCAATCTTAACCCTTTTATTTATTGCCTTTTTCCTTTTAATGGCAGGGTATGTTGCGAAATATAACTCGTATATAATGCTGAGATATTTGCAAAACTCCGGACCGCATGTGTATGCGGTGGGGAACGAACGCGCGCTATTGTCATTTCAGGGGAGTAGCGCACTTCACCACCACACCATCCGGGTCCTTCGTTTCGCCTGTCTCTCAGCTATTTCTATTGATCTTTGCCACAGCAATCACCCGCCAGCGGGATTGATCTGGGGAGCCCAAATCGGCATAGAACCCAGTTAAGCTGCGGCTGTAGTTGAAATCACAATGTTATACCTTTTTATTTTCTGCCTGTTATAATTTCGCGGTAGGGTACTACTCCCCGGTAAAGGACAAAAGCGCGTTCGTTTCCCACCATAGACACCTGCGGTCCAGAGTTTTGCAAATATCTCAGCAACGTTGTGGTTGTATTTCGCTTAGTACCCTGCCCACCTTTTCGACTCGACGCTACTTCCTGCCCTAACGTATTCGTCAGAAACCTGGTCGCTGCGTAAGCAGGATGAAAGATCACTCAGCGTTATCGAACGCACAGTCGAAAGGACAATGCTGGGAGTATCCTGTTTCACGCAAGTAAGGAAAGGGATCCAAAGTCCCGACCTCCGTCAACGATCAAAAATCGAAGATGCCTTTCTGTACCCCAAACAGTATAAGCAAAATAAGGTGGGCCGGACACGTAATGCGTATGAACGACAACCGATGGACAAGAGCCATTAGCAACTGGATTCCTCGGAATATTACACGTACTGCAGGAAGACCACCGACCAGATGGTCAGAGTTCTTCACGAAGAGCCTGGAAGAAAGATATGATTCTCGGCGAGTCCCAAGAGCGTGCAGAATCCACTGGGCTACTCTTGCACTCGACAGGGAAAAATGGAAGATTTACTTGCGCAGGCTCGAGTCACTCGACGATCGACGGGACTACAGGTAATTCCCTTTTAGAAATTTGAAGAAAATAATTATCCCAATATTTCAGCGGTTTTCGTCATTTGAACCCTGTTCTATACATCAAAACACCGCTGTGAAATACAACTGACTCTCCAATCTCCTACTCCCTTGGGTGCCATCAAAAGCAAAAAAGACCTACAGCAGCAGCACTAATAAATTAAGCAGAGGTTTCCTTCAAGCTAGGAGCTACAAACTAACGACGTTCCGCATAGTCCATACGAAGACTTTCTCTTCAAAGAGAGCGATCACTACCCAATCAAAAAACTTGAGGACTGTCATTTTTACCAGCGTGGATGAGGAGGGGACTGGGATTCTTCAAAAATGGCAATCATTCGTACGACTCGCTTCACTAAAGATCATATTAGTGATACCTCTGTGGACTGGAATTCAGACGACTACTTATTTTGCTCTTATGAATGTTAAAGTTCTTATTACGGAAGTATAAAGGATGAAGGATAATGCTTTCGACGTTAATTAGTTCCTGTGAGATGCACCAATGAATTTGACAGCATCAAGCATCGTAGAGGTGATTGAATGCGTATCAGGTCTACGCAATTACTTACGGTGGCCTGCTGATGTGTCAAGTCAATGATGGTATCCTTTCAGATAGGTCTGGTGTCACATTGTGGATTCCGGAACGAGGGATGGCTTGGTGAACACACGGCGTGGAATCGAGCCAAAGACGCCGTGTGAATCGCAGCGCACCTCTAACCACTAAGCTAAATAAGCCTCGCACTCTCATGTAAATAACAGTAAAAGAGATTAGATGGCCGTTCAGTAGTTTCTCTACGAGTCGACTAAGATTTCTAAAAACGAAACTAGAAGGCGAAGTTATTACGGTGCTGAGATGTTTGAAAGTACTAAATGAATAGAAACTATGCTGTGGTCCCATCGAATAAATATGGGCGAGCCTTTCCTTTCTGAACTACTAGCTCGTTAATGATATTCTTGGAAAAGATACATACAGCGTGAATCCACCCCCACCAAAGGTATCCCAAGCTAACTTACTTGCTTGATACCTGAACGGCCCGTCCCTACTAGTTGTGCGGGCCCCAGCATAATCACCATTATTCCCATTATTCGGAGACCTGCTGATCAAGCCATTGTGATTCCTTGGAATCCCGAGGAAAGCCGGGCAAAAGTCTGCCCCAGGTCGTCACCACAACAGGCAGTCGCTGCCCTTGTGAATCAGAGAGAGATTTGCCACCATGCGACTTTGATACCAAGACGGTAGTAGATCCTGGTCTTGGTTTACTCTTAGCTAGGCTTCCTGATGGAAACGCCGAACTCCTTCTCAGCTTGGGAGACCCTGCCGAGAGGACGAATACCCCCGCTGTTCATCGCAGTTCGATACCCCAGTAAAAACGTCCCAGCCACGATGAGGCGTTAAACCGTTGGTAAGATCCCAAGCTAAGGAACCCGCAAGTCCAGCTAAGCGTGAAACAGAGCTTAGGTGCACTATAGTCACACGATACGGAAAATACTCCAAATGTAAAGCATACCGATTTATTGCAAGTATCAAGTGGATCCGTGTTTTTTGTGATTTACCCGTTATAGGCTTGATGCTCGTACATTTATAAAGAGTAATGTCCTAATTGTCATTTTTTCTTATTTTTCAGCATCAGAGTGCGATATGGAGTACAATTATGGTGATGCCGAGATATGAATAAGCAAAATTCGGAAGATCAGTCAGTCTTCGAACCCGCAAGATTACTCTTTTCGGGAGCTCACGTGCTCTCCAACACACCAACAGATGCTATTCGGTTGACGAATTGAACCAAAGTTATAGGTTCAATGATGCTGAGATATTTGCAAAACTCCGCAGGTGTATGTGGCGGGGAGCGAACGCGCTATTGTGCTTTCCGGGGAGTAGCGCGTTCACCACCATACAACGCGGGTCTTTCGTTTCGTCTGTCAGCTAGTTCTATCGATCTTTTGCCATCAGCAATCACCCGTCAACGGGATTGATCTGGGGGGTCCAAATCGGCAATGGGCAACTCCCCGGAAAGGACAATAGCGCGTTCGTTCCCCACCGCATACACCTGCGGTCCGGAGTTTTGCAAATATCTCAGCATCTTTGAAGTTATATTTCACAATGTATACCCTGCCGTTAAAAAGAGTAGGCAGTAAATAATAAATTAAAATCAAAGTTAAAGGATTGTGATTTCGACTGCAGCTCGACTGGGCTCAATGCCGGTTTGCACTCTCCAGATCACCCTCGTAGTGATTGCTGATAACACCGATATAGTAAATTTCTGTACACAACCAGCCTACAGCTCATTCATTCACAGTGAACCGACTTTCACGGTTAGCATAAATCTGCCTAAACCCTTAAATATGTTAAATGGCAGGATTCAATCCGTTAAAAAACTATCCAAAATACTTCACCGAAGAACGCCACTAACCGTGACAAAGGCATCACCGTTGTCAGCTCATGATAACTGCCTATCGTTTTTTAATATCTACCTCTTCGCCTCAATCGTAGTCTGTTCATCACTCTGTTCCATAACTTTCCTGCGTCATATTTTGTGTTTCTCACTAAAAGAAAGCAATGATTACCATCGGCACTTTAGCCTATGTTGATTTCATGGGTAGTTTTACTATCCAAGCCTAAAAGCAAGGGATCTGCATAAGACAAGGGTTTACTGATGTCCTTGTGATATATAGAATCGTTGGTTTGATCTCACATCACGGCTAGCCAGCCCATCAGCACCTGAGTAGGCGAATAGGTAACAGGCATCATAGGAGGGCAAAAATGCTGATTTAATTCATTGATGGGCTATCGGTAATCCTATCGACCGCATATGCTTCTAACCACCTTTACGATGCTTGATTACGTCGAACACATGCCGCACAGCCCATTATTGATGAATGTCGAACCATTTAACTTTTCGGTATTCCATCTATTCTAAAAACACACTAGGTCAGAGGAGGCCAGACATCATTCCACCCTTACCACCAAAGAAAAGGAGTCTCTCCGCATGCATCTAGCAATAGAGTAAGCTTCATAAAAAAACACAAACTTATGCACAAAGTCTCACATCCGGCAAAAAGTTTATTTTAAACCAATAAAGCGAAAGAAAACCGCACTTCACTGGAAAACACGTTTTGAACAACATATCAAAGTAGAACACACTTGTAAGCTACGTTTGAAGAATATAGCAGATGTTACTTTAAAATACGATTGAAGGTATCACTGATATTGGTCGCAAGCACTCACAACCTCAAATCACGAAAGATAATGACAGGACAGATAGTTAGAAAAGACGAACATTAACTAAAAATAAGCTTATAGCAGCTCAAAAATCAACTATAGAATGACAAACTGGGGTAGCACAGAAACACCGAATACATTTCGAATTTGCCAAATAGCTCTAAGTTCATAACTAAAGGTAATCAGAGTGAATAAATAGGTTAAAAAGCATAAAGCATGCGAGGAAACATTACATGGAGAAAAGAGAAGCAAGAGGAAATAATAAAATAGGTCGAAAATACCACCCAACAAATGCTAAGTACTGTCTGACCCAGCATTAGAAGTTAATGTTGAAGACATGTGAACAGTGTCTCAAAAATCTACACTGAAAGTTTCACCATTAGGAAGCGAGAAAAGAGCGCAGCGACAACGATGACAAGCACCTTGTAAGTTCAGACAATTCAAGCAAATTTAAGCGACTTGTCCAACTGCTTTTTCTTCAATCACCTCCTCCTCTTCTTCGGGTCTCGGCAATGAGCGAGGCAAAAAGTCGCGATCTGGCCAGAACATCGAAAACACTCGCTGTGCCTAAAAACGAGGAAAATCCTCTATGAAAATGCCTTCGCCTTAAAAGTGCTTCATCAAGTTAATGCCATCAGCCTCTTTGGACCATTTCAACATCAATACTTTCAAAACCACTGCTTCAAGGTTCATACATACTATAAAGAAATAATTTTCTAGTCTAGTACTGGTTTCTCACTTTATTAAAAGTTAACATATATGTAGGGGCAGATAGTCCAGTGGTAGAGATGGCGATCATCATGAGTACGGTGCTGGTTCAATCCCGCCCCAGCTCATCAAATCTTTCATCCTTTGGGGGTCGGTAAATTGGTACCGGACTTGTCCGAGAAAACTCGCTCTCTGTAGTTCAAATGGGAGCGTCCTAACCCATCTATCTCAGGATTCCAGCAAGAATCGACTCGACTAGCATTCTACGACATTCAGGATGAAATGAAAATCCTCAAGCAGCAGCCGAATCCACACGTGAAAAGTCCGAATATGTTCGTAGATGATGGATACTAAGAGACAAATCGAATGTGAAAGGTGCTGGGATCCGCACAACAGACATGAAGACAGGTCATATAATAAAAAAAACGTACCACATAATGCGACTTTAAAGTTAAATGACGGCAATAGTCGTCCATTACGTCTACCTCCGTCAGTTATTTAGTGACTCGAAAAGGCACTAATACAACCTCCATTCGTCGATCTCGCTGTCAGCACTGCTTTGCGAGCTTCACACGTTCGAATGACACGAGGGATATCACGCTTTTGGTACTACACCCACTATTTTAACGGATTTATTTTCGCAGGGTATAGCCATACAACAGTTTTGCTTTGAGCCTAATTTCCTGGCGATCATTCCAAAACCTTTTCATTTTCAAAGATCGTACCACGTATGGACCTTGGGCTAAACACTAAAGCTTGACGTGCAGAAAATACCCCTTGCTATACCCTATAGGATAAAAAACTATTTGGAGTGAAGAAAGGAGTAAACATCTAGGAAGCATACCTTCATAAAAGAATGAGTAAAAACCAATTATAACCTCGTCAATTGAACTCGAGTAGTCTAATGCATGATCGGGTCCTGATACGCAAAAGGCGTTCTCCATCGGCAATTCAAGAGATGCAGTAGTGAGAACTTCGAAACGAAGGCTCCAACAAGGAGATGGACGGTCTAAAATGCACACAAATTCAAAGTTTTAAATCGTGTTAATTCTCGTTTTCGTCAAAATGAGTACTTTAAAGATCCTACTACTGGATATTCCTGAAATTATCTAACTCATCAAAAGTACGTGAGAATACATAGCATTCAAAACTTTTTATTTGGTCAGGATATATCAATAGTATGCTGGGAATGACTAAAAATATAAACCTGTAACTCATCACGAACTCACCAGTACCCTGTTCATCGAAAATTCGCTGGTAAACCTTGGGAATGAATGACTCATCAGTTCCTTTTCTACCAGTTAAATGTACCAGATCTAGAAGTAACGCTCATTGGTAGGAAATGTTACAGTCCAGATAGGCTAAGATTCCATAATTTTTGGTGTATATGGGAAAATTTCGCTCATAGAGCGATCTCATGCCAGTTAGTTTAGTGGCAAGGAAACGTGGTAGCGGATAAGCGTCTAGTCTCCAAGAAATGCGGCTCCATTCTTCCCTGAGACGCAGGTGGAATCAGGGAATGGGTTCTCTTTTTCTGCTGCGCCGATTTGCAGTTTGGTTTGTGTTCACCACGACGTATTCATGCATGCTTACGTGGGTGAGTGAGTTCTCGTCCACGAGTATTTCAATCTAGTAGTCAATTCAGCCAAAAGCCTACAATCAAGTAGTACAGAAGAATATGGGAAGTGGTTAGGAAGTCGCCTCCAGTAAACAAGCCCATAGTTTACTCCAGGAATGAATGTCAAGATACCCGCAAATACATCTTGCCCCACGTTCAGAGTTCAGTAAGCTATAAGTGGGTATCAAATAATATCAGTAATATAAGCAGGCTTCGGCCTCATTTTTCCGACCCCAAAACGCCCAACGATACGTCAGCGTTGGGATGCCATCGAACAAACGTTTCTCGAAACATGCGACAGCAGAGAAGGCGGTGGCGTTGGCGTACTCGTCAACACGAGTTTGGCCATGAACATGGATTCATTCGAACAACTAACAACCCGAACAGGATGGCTAAGCCTGAAGAGATGTGTATCAATATGGGCTCTAACAATCTTCGACGTTTAAGCACTGATATCACGTTGTGACGAAGGCAAAGGTTAAGCATTCCATACGAACTGGGGAATTTCTACAGACAAAACCATACATTATTTTGAGCCATCATTTGAGCTTTTAAGCCAAGATTAGACTAACAGGAACGTCATATAGGGACCGACGGATTAGAATGGAAAGAATAGGGTGAGCAGGATGTGAGTTTATCATGACGGGATAGTACCATATCGAAACAGACCACATAATAGTAAATCGAAGGTTTTGCTTGACCGATGTCGTTGGTGTCCCAAAATTCTACACAAGATCAGACTATCGCCTCCTTCGTATAAGAATTCTTTCCTCGCATCGAAGAGAAAAATACGCTAAACTAGAAAAAATGAAGGCCCAAAGCGACTGTAAATTGCGATTTATTCAGTTCATTAGTCGGCTCATAGAAAGATCCTCTTATTCACAGTATTGACAAGGAATACGATGGGCTCATTCAACATCTTCACGTCCGCGTTACGAAAGTTGAGAGCTCGAAAGCCACCAAGAGATGTTTGTCTCCAGAAAATGTCAGATGATACACCACCGAAGAATCGCGCCAGCTACTCGTAAAGACAGAAGAACAACAGCAATGGTCAAAGCCGCAGAGGATGGACAATGCATTGGGCCACCGAAACTTCGCCAATTACAAAACCAAGACGATTTCACTCCGATGTCCCGACGGGACAGTTACAGGATTCAGAAAAGCAACAGAAAAAATCATTTGGGATTCTTACTCGGATCTATTTAATAGCCACACTCCTCTGCCCTCAAGTGAAATAAAGGAGGATGGAGATGCGTCGACCCACCCGTTGTTCCTTCCAAAATTTGACATGCTATTTCGTTGATGAAGAATCGAACAACGTCAATTTCAGAAAGTATAAGATCTGAGCACATGGAGAACCTTCTGACAGTCCTCCTAAACACAACTGCTCGGCTCTTCACACGTTGCCTGTTGAAACAAGGTTCCTATTCAGTGGAAGACTGGCAAGACTGTTTTCAACAAGGGTCACCTCCACGAAGTCGGCAACAGTGGTTTAATTTGCCTGCTGTTTGCGACTACAAATTCTTTCAAAGATTCTTCGCGAGCTATGTAAAAGCTTCACGACAAAAATTTCACAATTCTACAACGATACTGAGATCGACGAGTTAGGCCAGCCGATACCATCTCGCCAAAATTATTTACCGACACCCTCAAGAACGTCATGCGAACATTGATATGAGACAATATGAGTGAAAATCGATAATGAACAATTAAGCCATCTTCCATTTGTTGATGGAGTCATTCTTATAACAGCAAGCATTAGCCAAGAGGAGCGAATGCTTGACGACTCTGATAAAGCCTGTGGAAAGATTGGTGTTTGATTAAATCTCACTAAAACGATGTTCATGAGGAACGGAATAGTTTCACATGCTCCACTCAAGATCAAACAACAAATAACTCAAAAGACCAACTTTCTATAAACCTCGGCATTAATAGTTGATATATTTATTTATATGATCTTATAAACCGATCTTCCTTAGCTGATCCGAGGTTGGTATAGGTCTTCGTTGCCGTTGTCGTTGTTGTCGGTGCTGTTGGTCGATGGCTGTTTCGGCGATTTCGTCTTTATCAGAGTTTGGACAACATCAACAACAACGATAACGACAACGAAGACCTATACCAACCTCGCATCAACTAAAAAAGATCAGTTTATAAGATCATATAAATAAATAAAAAAACAAATGCCTCTGAATGCTGCGGTTACGTCTATCTAGGTCGGGAAATCAATGTGATGAACGACCTAGCTGCAGAGTTGAGCAGAAGGACGCGAGTGGCTTAGGAAGCCTTCAAGAACATCGAGGATATAAAGAGGAGAACAAAAAACATCTGACTCAGTGCCAACTTTTCGACCCTAAGATTTCTCCTGTGTTAATGTACGTGTCGGAAACTTGGTCACTACGTAAGGAGGACGAAATATCACTCAATGTTATTGAATGGGCAGTCGAAAGGGTGAAGCTAGGAGTAGCCCATTTCACACAAGTGAGGGAAGGGATGCAGAACTCCGATCATCGCTAACGACCAAAAGTCAAAGATGTCGTTCTACAGGTCAAAGTGTCGAGAAAGAGGTACATCCGGATATCCGGATACGCAATGCGAATGAGCAACAACCGATGGAGAAAAGCTATAAGTGGCTGACTTCGTCTGGATTGCAAACGCAGAGCAGGGAGATCACCGGCCCGATGGTCACAGCTCTTCATGAAAACCGTAGAAGAAAAATATAATACTGAGTGAGTTCCTAGAGAAAGCAGAACCCACTAGGGTACTCTTGCAACTGACAGGAAAAAATGGAAGATTCACTGGCGCCCACATGCGTCAATCGACGACTACGAATGTCGGGTTATACAGTTGATATGAAGTAAACCAGAAAAGAAACAAATCAATAACCGCATCTCTCTATTTTCTACAAAACAATCTCATAAATAATGAACTAACAGAATCCTTTTGGAGCTGTGCATACTTCAAATCCTTCTTCGATGAGGCGTAAAGCCGATGGAGGGTCCAGTTGGAACAAATTTAATAAAGTGACCTATAATATGTAAAACCATCAATTGTATAATTTAAAATAAAGAGGCTAACCATATCGTTGGGAGAAAATCGCTTCAAATGAGAGATCTCTGGTGAATGGTGGAAGAGTTATGAAAAAATGGCCTGAATTGGTAGAAACGCTTACATGTTCTTTTTCATCTGTCCATATTGATTTGTTCGTGATATATACAGCTCTATCGACCCATTTTGCTTCACCTTGCGATGGCACAGTAGACGGTACGTATTCCGATGACATGACCAAGTGAGCACAGTTAATTCGATGGCCATCCGCAATCACCCCAACGACCCTGAAAGATTCTTCTAATCACTAAAAATGAGATCTCGTTAGGAATTTAGAAGGCTGGCAAACACTTCTAAATCAGTAATAAATATTGTTTTCAAACTATGGTTTTTCAAATAAATCCTTTAAATGTTCAATTTCACATAACTGAACCAAAACAAGAAGACAACTAAACAGTCGTAAATTTGGAAAGAAAACAGCTGTGACAAGCTGCTCTTCACGGAAGCTGTTCGTGAGCAACTTTCAACTTTGAAAGTTAGCCTCCTCATATGTCTTTTATCGAACACTGCATCAGCTTTCTGCAACTGTTTGTAAACTCCATTCTATAGGTTTGTAGAAATACAGCTATCGATGCTGCAAATATAAGACCACATCCTGACAAGAAAAGTTTGATGAGTTCAACCACCATTATAAGCTAAATTAGCACCAAATTTAATTTCCACCTATAAAATCCAGTCTGTAGCGCTATATCGGTAACACTTCACATCAAGATTCGATCGCGAAAGGCTGCGTTTCGTGTTATTTGGGGCTTGGAAACTTTTTGCTGCACTCAATGAGTAACGGCGTAACTAACTCTCTTCATCGTGATTACTATCTGCAATGATATCTACCCATACACCGAGATAAAGGTTTTAACCTACTCGTAGGTTATGCTTATTTATTCAGCTAAATCAGAACGACTTGTCATCTGCTGTCTCCATTGACATGTGGCATATTGGTGGAACATGGTTTTCTTTAAAATCTGAAATAACTACAACCAGCGCTTCCTAGCTTTCAATACGCGCAAGGCTTTGGTTCATCTCTGCCCCAGACCAATTAAGCTGCCATCCTTAAGGGAACAGCAAATAGCTAACAGATCTTCAACGATAAATTCGGTCCGTTCAATTCACGGGAAAGGAAGACAGCATGAGATGAATGTTGGCACCATAGTATGGCTTCCCACGATTTCACGCAGAATCTACTAGACCATTCAAGACCATTTATGAAGAATATCAAATCCTCAAACGGCAGCCGAACTCACATGCAAATCTTAAGATTTACAGTAGTCGTGTCGCTGCCCTTAACATGGTCGAAGTACTCTACTTTTCCTACGCAAGTTTTTACATGTTTACGGCAATTTAATAAATGGAAAACTTACATCCAACGTATACATGCGTATAAACACGTCAAAAAATACTTGACCTTGATTTAACTATGACATTTGAAGCGACCACTATCTACCTGCCATTCTTCTGAATTAGTGCCTCTACCGGCCGCCCGAGACAGTACAGTCCCCCGAAAACTGCGCATAATCTGCAGAAGCATTGGGGAATTTCTCCACTTCCATACAAAGAAGTGAGAAAAGGTGATGGGCCAAAACGTCCCACTGAGTCCATAAAACGACAAACGGCCGTTAGACCCTATAAACACACTAAGTATTGTTGCTTAAATCAATAGTGGTGTACGATACTTTCTTCAGAAATTTCAATATGTAACGAATCTCTTTACATCCTGAGTGGTGGCGTTTGGATGCAGTATTCCAATAGCATCTGCGATGTAGTTACGAAGTTCTCCCGTTATCTCCTGAGACTCCAGGAGCTTCTCAAATGGGTAGTCTTGGTATTCTGAAAATGTTATGGCTAAGCGAAAGATAATCACAGTAATTGAGAACTGCACCTTTCCACCCCTCCATTTCTTCCGCCTTGGTATTCCACTCGAGACAAAATGTCATAAATTTCATTAATCGTCGTTTATCGACCATGCTGAAACATTACTGTATTTGGGAAAATATTAAGCGGCGTAAAAATTGGAGTCCAACATGAAAAACAAAGGTATACGACCATAACGATGCTGAGATATAAGCAAAATTTGAACCCTTGGCCAGATCGAACAACAATTACCCTTTCCGGGGACTCGCCAAATCAATCCCGATGACGGGTGATTGCTGATAACAGCACTAAGTAGAAAACGAGCCGAGAAAAACGCAAAGCATTGGTCTCCGTGGTGCAGTGTGTAATACTCGAGCTCCTGGAAAGGGAAATCGTGGTTCGACCTGGCCCTGGGTCCAAGTTTTGCGAATATTTCAGCATCGTCATGGTTGTATCCCACGTCATACACTGCCGTGAGAATTATAGTAGAAATCAAATAAAAAGGCTAAAATTATTAAATTTAGAAGACATTGAATATTTGCATTATTTTTTCATTACATGATCCGACACATTTCTCATGCTGTGCGGATCCCAACTCCTCCTGAATTCGATTCATTTCCTTCCATCCACCATCCACCAGGGTCTTCGATCTTTCCCGGGTATGGTTTCGGCTACTGCCCGAGGACTTTTTATTCATCAATGTCGTTTAATTCCAGCCCAATCGATTCCTCCTGGATTCTTGAGATAGCTGTGGTGGGGCGTTCCCAAGTAGACTGGAAGGATTCAGCCTGTCCCAGACTAGTCTGCTACTAATTTCCCGACCCCGAAGGGATGAGAGGCTTGTTTGTTCCTGATCGGCATGGGACCAGCGGCCAGCTATACTTAAGGACTAGTAATAAAGAAACGAGATAAAACAATAGAATATTATAAAAGATTTCACGTCAGCTTCATGGCTGCGTAAGAACTCCAAGATAAAGATAAATCAGAAAGCACTGACCTAAGAGTATCATCTTGGAATATGTCGCCTTTATTGCACGGAACACGACTATAGGACAATTTCGGTTCGTTTTCGTCACGAAGGCATAGAAATCGATCCACGCATTTGAATTCTGCATACTTGGCTACCTCAGAATCACAAAGGGTTTGCACCATAGAACCACGGGCTAAGAGAACCTAAAAACAAAAAGCCTTGACTTCTTACTGATCATGAAGTGGATACAAAAAGGTGATTAAGTTCTTCTGCGAGATTTTTATCTATCAAACTTTTTCCTTCATCTGTAACAGTATTACCTGACACAAAATTTAAGTATTAAAATGATACTTAGGCATAATATTTAACCAAATCTTTATGTGCATTTCGCAGTGTATTTGAATTCAATTTACTGGGCTTCATTAACCGAGTGCACGAAACATACGCATCTATTAAGAACTGCTGTCAGCAACATTAGCATTTATATAGTATCAAGCAGCGACAACCTTACCACAGTAGGTTGTCAAGGTAGTGAGGTGTTCCTTAGTTAACTATGATAGACAACAATCGACTCATCTTCATGTAGAGCTATCCAATCTTAAAAAGAATTACGCATCTCCAGAGATTAGCTATGATCAATCCACTCACAAAATTTTTCTTTCAGTTTATAAGTCACAGTGGTGGTACATTGGAAAGCTGGAACAGATAAGTTGCTCAATCGTTCGCAATGGTTAAGGGTTAGATGCGCTGTGCAATACATAGTGGATCGATCAGTGGTTCGAGCCCGTGGCGCGGACTCACCAAGGCTCCCATTCGTCCAGGGTCGGCAAATTGGTACCATACTTGTCTAGGAGGATAACAATATGACTTGAGACATTGGAAGGCAGCCGCATGTCATTAACAAACCGGATATGCATTCAATCATATCTAACCATATCATAATAATCTATACCATAATCGATGAGGCTTGAGGAAACCGAATTCATGGCGAACCTCACAGGGATTAATCAAAAGCGAAAACATTATCCTTCATCCCTCATACCTTGCCAATAAAAACATTAACATCTATGAAACAAAAATAAACAGTCTTTGAATTACCATGACCGACTTTCTTTTACTTCGCGGATATGCTAACCTGATATCAACTCAGCCGAACAAAGACGAACACCTCATTACTTTGAGGATATTCGAACCTGCTTCTTGTGTTGAATATCGTCATTTTAAATGTTACAACAAAGTGAAAATTCATTCCTTTAAGCTGTAACCACGTATAAACTAGGTTACGAATTCAAAAGCAAAATCAACGAGTCTCTCTGACAGATGGATAAAAGTAAAAGTGAAGCGAGGTCCAATGAAAAGAAAACTGGCGACTAGAGTGGACCAGCGTAGACCACTTAAAAGAACTACAGACACTTTTTCAGCGACATTAACCATCTCAAGTCCCAATGTAGGAACGACTTACTCGCCACAAAATGCTATTCGCAGGTGGAACCACATTCGAACTAAACAACATTGGTCAATATTGTTCGACTAAAAGAATAAAAGGATAGAATATTCATTCTTAACCGACCCATTGACGGATGCGCAATGCATCCGACCTCAACAAGCATCGCAAAGGAGACTGAATGCATTCCTAGCCTACATAATGACTTATGGAGGACTACCGATCTATCAACACAGTGTTCTTCTTCTCCCAGACCGCTGTGGGACCAATTTTCTGACCTCACAAGGATGGAACATTTTGTGAGGGCAGCCGAACCAGTAATCGATCCAGTGCATATTGCAGAAGACCTCTAACAAGTGCGCTGCTATTACTCTTCTGATCGGAACAATTTACAAATGGTCGGGTAGCGAAGCAAATGAAAATGTATGGGTACCGTTATGATTCGCCAAGATGAAACGTCAGAATATCCAAACTAATAAAAAAATAACCAGACATGTAAGAACAAAAGAGAAAACTACAAATCAGCAACAGAAAAACTAACCTTCGGCACTAGATCAATACTGAAACGTCTCCATTCGGTTTCCATAACTTCGCGAATCGTCTTCTGTTCAGCGTTGTCACCTTTATCTGTTGTCATTAACGATTCGCTTAATGAACCAATATAACAAATGTATAATTATATCTAGTAGTATATAGCTAACTTCACGAATACCTAGCCGGAAGCCACTGTTGTTCTACATTGCGCACAGTTTTACGAGTGCCTAGCGCCATCAAGGATTCACCGTCTTCAAGTTTGTTATGATATTTCGAAACGTCGACCTCATCTGCTGGATTTTTCTAAAACATCCCATGTTACTATCTGTACGGCCTATGGTTTCTAAAAGTCGAGTGACTCAAGTGGGCATTTTTGAAGTAACATTTTAATTTTTTAATTGTTATTTTTGTGTGTAGAAGCTGTTCAAAAAGCTTCGTCCGAATTCTAGACACAAGGCACAACGCAATTTGTGTACAAAACTTACTTTTAACGTTTTAATCGACACCCACATGTAGTTCTGAGGAGTGTGCTTTGGGACTTACTCTTTGAAGGTGAAACCAAATCACCCTAGCATCTAGTCACTAGAAAGGTTCTGACAAGATCTATTCAAAAGACATAGTCCGGATACATGTAGCCACATCATGAACATATGCAACGGGTACGATTACAGCATCGCACTTTCCGTTGACATCTATCATCCATAAACGACTTCACACTTTTCGCGTGTAATCTTGGCTGATGCTTGAGAACTACCGTCTTCGTTACGAATTTTGCTCAGTGTTAGTCAAGCCGACTCCTGGTGTCCTGAGACAGCTGTGCCAGCTAGGATGTTCCCACGGGAATTGTAGGAAGTGGGCGGATCTCAGAGATGTGGGGTTACGATTTTCGCAACCTGATAGAAACAGGGGCTTGGTGAGACCGGAGCTTGGTCGAACCAGCAATGAGGCTCATGACAAACCAGCCTTAGTATTACTGCGCTAGCAGCTCCCATGATTACGTGCATATGAAAGATCTAAAGTCAACCTAGCGCACGGTCGCTGAGTATTCAAAAAATCCACCTTTGTCGCATGAGCAAGTACGATGGCGCTTTTGACTCGCCATAACTAGTCTATCTGAGAAAACACCACATGGCCAAGACACCTAACTTGTCCCAGATTCAATATATGAAGGGAATCTCACTGTTCACATAAGTAGACAAGTGAACAAATTACTATTCGGTACTATATAATAACCCACCTGCTGTTCCTCAACCCAGTCAGTAATCGTTGCCAGGTTGAACGAAGCCCAGTTACCACCGTAGAATTTGTTCCTTGAAAATACAAAAAAGAAAACATTATTGTATAGCTTCAATGATACCGAGATATTTGCAAAACTCCGGGCCGTAGGTGTCTGAGGTGGGTAACGAACGCGCTATTGTCCTTTTAGGGGAGTTGCACGTTCACCACCACACCATGTGGGCCCTTCGTTGCGCTTGTCTCTCAGCTAGTTCTATCGATCAGTGCCATCAGCAATCACCCCTCAACGGGATTGAAGGGCTAAGATTGTGAACATAACTATAGCCTCAGCTTAACTGGGTTCAATGCCGATTTGTGCTTCCCAGATCAATCCCGTTGACGGGTGATTGCTGATGGTAGTGATCGATACAACTAGCCAAGAGACAGGCCAAACGATGGACCCGTATGGTGTGCTGGTGAACGCGTTACTCCCTGGAAAAAACAACAGCGCGTTCGTTCCCCGCCGCAGACACCTGCGATCCGGAGTTTTGCAAATATCTCAGTAACATCGAAGTTATACTTCGCAATATACCCTGCCATTAAAAAGAATAGGCAATAGGTAAAAAACGTTAACATTTTTGTATAATTCCTCCATGCTAATAAAGAGCAACTGAAAAAACTAAACATTTGCCTCACTATTACTACAGCCAAAAACGTCTGCTTTTACTTATGGTCAAGTAATCCTCTGTATATAGTTACATTCCCAGGAATCTCGTTGTCAAAACTATCACAGATCACAACCGAATAACGTCGAAAGAAGTTCTTGGAGACACAGATTGTGGCTCACTGCAAAACAATACGTACTAAACAACAAAGGATAAAGCTTTCCGCATTGATCAAACCCTGAAAGATTCGCCATGCATTCGACTTCATTAAATATCGCTGGAGGTGACTGAATGCATATCTGGCTTTTACAATGCTCGCGGTCGCCTACCGATGTATCGAGCCAGTGCTACTATCCTCCCAGACAAATCTGTTATCAATTTGCCGAGCTCGGAGGGATGGAGGGCTTGGTGGGTTATGGGCGCGGAGATCGATTCCATGTGTTTGTTACAGGGCGCCTCCAACCACTGCGTCACACGTTCCCAACAAGTACTACCATTTATAAAATTTGGAATTGCTAAGCGTATCCAATCATTTTACACGAAGAATTGTCTACACATCATATGCTCGAACATGGCACAGTACTAGACTATTGGAAATGAGATACTTTATAGAAAAAAAAATAAAGTCCAAAATAGCGAACCTGTCCAGATGCAACACACTGAGACCGGTGCGGGAACATGCCGCTGCGACTATGGATTCCGTTAAGCCAGTGCCTAACACCACCACATCCACACTGTCCGGCAACGATTCGCTCATTCTCACTTAGACCGATTAGTTATAAGTCATCACCACAGCACCAACAATATGCGCTTACGTATTCACAAGAAAACAACTTTTTCAAATCGACAACTCTGTGCAACGAATTTTTATTGTAGTGTCTATAGATAGGGCTTTCGAGTATCTCTTCAAACACCAGGTTATGTTTGTAAGTAAGAAGATACATTCAATAAACTGCCTGTGAGCTCTGTTCATGCTCTTTCTCTCCATGTTCCCAATGCAACTAATTCGACAATTTTGAGAATGTTTTTGGTAGCTTCCTTGTAATTATAAACTATCGAACAGTTCTGCGAATTTTAGCGAAAAATTGGGAACAGTACTGGAGCTGGTACTGAGGGGATCAGCACTGTATTTGGGTCAAACTCGATTGAATACATCATGCAACATCAAGGGTAGTGGTAACACAATGTGAAGGAGCAAACAAGTAGCTTTCCAGACAATATAGTACACAAAACAGTTGGCGATATCTCTTCAATAATCGGATTTTCATATCTACGTAGCTTCAATATAACCAATAAACTCAAAAACCGATTAAGAACTTCAAATTAGACCTACAAACGAAAAGACTAAACTAACCCAGTATTGTCACCGGTTATGGGGTAGTTATAAAGGTTGATTAGTAGAAAGCAAAAAAACATTACTTTCAATAAAAAATCAACGCCAAAAAACCAAAAAAAGGCAAGAAATAGGTGAGATACAAATACAACATAAGATACAATTGCGATGATTCCTCAGTACCCGTGCAAACATTTCAACACCACTACATTACCTCAGCAAGTATAACCCACAGTGTCAATTATGCATTTAGTTACCCTTAATCCAGCATCGAAATACTGTCTTCAAAGGTGAAAATAAGAAACGAAGTATATATAAGGCTCTGAAGGCAAGAACTAGAACGAAAAAGTGAACGGTACTTCATTAATAATAGTAAAAAACAAAACTGCTCAACTACCATTTGATGACGATCATGGTTTAAGTACAAGATCGTCCTTTTGATACCATCGATTTGGTCGAATTCGCTCATAATAAAGCATATATGCTTGAGATTTAACAACTTGCAAATATGGCACCCGTTGCACCTGTAATGTAAAAGCATTTTGGTTATGGTTAGAAGAATCTGAGGTTCTGAAAACATCGAATATCCAGTATATAAAATCCTGCGAACCTACGAAGAAGAAGCATACGCCGCTGTACTCTTCATGGCTTGTTACACTCCTTCACTTAAACATATATATATATATATATATATATATATGTATCTATATACACGTATATGTATATATATACATATATATACACATGCACATATGTGCATATATATGCATATATATTTGGGTTTGGGCAGCGCAATGGTTATTCATGGAGTCGACCAGGAAACAAAGGCGCTAGTTCGATCACCGCAGCAACGCTATCCTGCAATCCAAGTGGGAGCGCCCTAGCCTAGCTATCTCCAAGGTTGCAAAGAGAACTGAATCGGTCGGCATTCTACGACGTTCATAAATAAGATGAAATCCTAAAGCAGCAGCTGAAACAACAGGCGAACTGTTCGAAGACCATTATAGAAATACGAGGGAACGAATCGAATGCAAGAAGCGCTGGGATCCGCACAGTAGATGTGACGTACATATATATTCGGTTGATTAAAAATTAATGACCGACTTGCAACATCATTTTCCTTGCGTAGGTTTTGGAAAGTTTTTTTTTTTAAAATGAATGCTGTACTTTTATGTATGGAATTTCAGATATCAACATAGTAATTTCGACAACCGAAGCACTAACGGGTATGTGGGCCAGAAGGTGCTAACGAACACAGTGTAACGTTATGTTGAAAATTCCGTTGTAGCTATTCGATCACGAAGGTGATGGAAGTCGAGGACGTCCTTCTGATAACGATTATGACGAATTTAGAGCTTTGGTGGGCGCAAGTATAAGCACAACTACAATAATATTGATATCTTTGCAAAATTTGGACCTCAGACCAGAATCTAGGGCAGATTTCTTAGTGGTGCAAAGATTAACACACAAGCGCCCGGAAAGCAGTTAAAATTTGGCCTAGGGTCCAAGTTTTAAAAACACCTCACCATCATTGTGGTTGGATTTCTTATAATACTCTGATATGGAAAAAAATAGGTAGCAAATAAAGAGTTAAATATTCTGATCAGCACAACTGTTCGAAAACATGCAGAAGAACTTGTATGAGTACTTCAACTATTTCGGAGCATGTAAAGGTAACTAGAAAGTCGGGGAAGCTCGACATATAGATGCCGCATAAAAAATGACAACCAAAGAAGTCCCCGCTTTGAAGTATCGTCTATCGTCGGCACTTTAGAACACCCAGTTTCTGGGCCATATTGTGACGTAGAGCGAGAAATGGATCCTCTATGATAATCGTCGACGATTGGCTGAGTGGTTCAACAAGGATGAATGTTTTCAGCACTTTTTCAAAGCCGAAACTGCACCAAAAAAGCGATGTTGGCCGTTTGGTCGCTAGTTTGACTATCCAAAGTTTCCTGAACGGTGAAACGATGACGACAGCGAAGTACGTCCGTACGTAGAAGTATGCAAATCGACCAAACGCATCAGAAATTCCAACAACTGTCCCCCACGGTGCAAAGGTAAACGAGCTCAGCCGTAGAACTCCGCCTTGTCCACAATACTCGCCGAACCTCTCGTCTATAGAATCTACTTCTTCAGGTACTCCGATAATTTCCTGTGCGAAAAATGTTTCAGAAACCAACTCGATACCGAAACTGCCACCAACGACTTCATCGCGTCCAAAAGTCAAGAAATTTAAGCAATTAGTATAAATAAAGTTGCTTCTCATTGGCAAAAATGTGTAGATTGCAACGGCTATTGTTTTCAAAAAAAGTTTGTTCTGCGCTCTTCCACTTTGAAAACGCAGGTTGCAACCGGGAATAAATTTCCGCACTATCTAATATATATGATCAACTACTATATTGTGATCGTATAACGGTATTTCCCCTTTTCGATTTGTTGTTTTGCATCCATTATCCATGGAGGTCTTCGGATTTCCATGTGTGCTCGGTTGCTGTTTGAGTTTTGTTTTACTGATAAATTTCGTTGAACACTATCTATTCTTCCCCTTGAGATAGCTCTGCTGGAGCGGCCACAGGACTCCATCACATAAAATGTTGATCGCAGAGTTTTATCCACACATGGGTGCTACGAATTCTCTGACTCTGGAAGCATAAGTAGCCCTTCCAATGGCGAACCGTCTAGTCACTGCGCTTCCAGGGTCCCTACTGGTATATTGTGCGTCAAAAATAACAAAAAAGAGTATACGATGTCGTATGTTATAGTTATTTTTCTCAGCATACCCTGCCACGGAAAAAAAAGAGGCAGTAAATAAGAAGTGATTACATTGTGAGTTATATTAAAACCTCAGCTTAACTAGGTTAAATGCCGATTTGTGCTCCCCATTTCAACCCCGTTAACGGGTGACTGCTGATAGCATCTATAAAACACGGCTAAGAGAAAGGCGAAACGAAGAACACACATAGCGTGGTGGTGAACACATTAGCCCCGAAAAGGGTAATAATGGGTTCGACATCCACTTCAGACACCTGTGGTCCGGAGTTTTGCAAATATCTCAGCATCATCGTGGTTTACATTCACAGCATCATGAAAAGAGAATATGTCATGTCATGAAAAAAAAAGAGAATAAGCAGTAAATAAAAAGTGATTACATTGCACGGTGTTTTCAACACACCTTAGCATCATTGGTGAGATACCATGTTTGGGGATTATTGATCCCACGCCGGTACGTAACGAAGTGTCCGCTTTGTGGTACACCGCGGTGTTCGCTAACAGCTCGTAACTGGTATTTATAACGAGCAGATTCGCGACGCTCTGCCACAAAAGAACCACCACTGAAAACCAACTTATATAAAGATAAGAAAGTATCAAGTGTTTGAGCAACCATAAGGAGTGATAGAAAACAATATCATAAACACATCAAAAAAGAGAAATGATGATAGAAATTCGTCTGATCTCACTAACATGTTGAAAGTTAAGCAAACGTGGTTTCTTCTGAACTACTAAAACGGTTCTACTAGGATATTCCGAAACCCTCATAACAAGCAATCAAAAGAAAATTTCTGCATTTACTGGATATCACTGATTGTGCGACCAACAGAACGAATGATGTTACATACCGAATCTCGGTGTAAGAATGGTGTACGAATAGTGTTAGAAATATGGTGCTGTGGCCTCTGGTTCGAGTCTCTGCTTTAATAGAATTTATAAGTCTCATCCTTTTGTAGCTTTCCCTTCGACGAATTAGGAATAGAAACGCGGAGTTTTTTTGATGCATATCATCAACTTCGAGTCAATAATTCCTACTGCGATCGTTTCACCAGGATTTAGACAATTGTGATTAATAAGACTGGATACGACACCAAACACTATGGCGATCCTTTGATGCAAACTGAGCTTTGGGAAGCGTTCTGAAACTACGAATTCGTCCAATGACTGCATTCAAAAGTCGTTGGCTGCAGTCTAGGATTCACTTTTCATCGTAGTTATGCCACAATACAAAAGTGAACCCATCACTGTTGTTGCGCAAATGAAGTGTTGTGCAGACTTCATAACGATTTGTTTTGGCAATCATTCAACTGGCGTAACACCCATTTATCGGGCTCTTCATGAACGACTGTTAATGTGCAAAAATTTGATTCTACTTCTTGTGCAATATTCTGGAAGCCAGCTTCGACCACCGCCCTCAGGAGGCCGTTTTCAACTACTCTTAGCCAATGAAATTCTTCTTTATCAAAATCCACCTTTTGTAAAAAAAAATTTGCTGAACTATTTCCGTAGCATACGCTCGGAAATGGTTCCTTTATCTCAAGCTTTGACGAAATCCCGACTTCCCTTCAATACGTCATATCCAAGCTCTACCCATGAAGCAAAACGATACAATTTGCATTTGTAAAATTCCAACGGTAGGAATCCCGCATCACCTATAATTCTGTTGGTCGTCAAGTGACTCAAGTAGGCATTAATGGACTCCATTCTACTCCAGCACATATATGAGCACCCCTGGATTGCTCAACTAGCTCAATAAGATGCTATGAGAACTACTACACCTTTGTTATGTTGCCTTTTATTCACACCATTGAATACATTGCAGCTATGCATAGTTTGACAAATTTGCCTCGGTAATTTTAGTTTTCGCTAAGTTTCCAGTTGACAATACCGTATTCCTCATCTTAAGAGACCTCATGGGATAAGAATTTTGATGTTTCAAATCAGTGCTTCTAACGCGAATCATGAAGCTTTTATTTCTGAAACGAATTCCTATCGTTGTTTTCCAAATAAGCTTCAGCACATTAACGACTCGATAACTGCTCATAATTTCTCTATAATCCGAGTATTTGAAAAAGAAGAGATTCGGCCCTGTAAACTACCGCTTCGTGACTATATAGTCTGTCTACAATGTTAGTCTTATTTGAAAATTCTTCGACATTCACATTCTCACAACATTAAAGAGAAGTTCGTTGAGAGAAAAAATCAACAACACACTCGGGTATATCATCGCATAGGGCTCGGTGAAATCCCGCGTGTTCAATTACTTCCGTTCTACAAATGTAAACCCCACGACAAAGAAAGGGCCCCAAAAGTCGGTTTTTCGTCGTGATAGGATAATAAGACTTCAGAAAGACTTGCAGGTTCCAATGGTTTTGAAGTCAATCAATTCAACCGTAAGGATGTACAGATATGAGCGAAACTAGGTAGGTTTAGACTTCTTTTGGCAAGGATTCACGTGCCAACCAGCAGCCACCTAAGACCTTTGCTTCGTCTTCGTCTCCGGCAGTTTTTTACTCTATAACTACTATCAGCAACTACTCGTCAACAGGAATGATCTGGGAAGCACAAATCGGCACTGGATCCAGTTAAGCCAAAGCTACTGTCGAAATCATAGTGCGTTAACTTTATTTGCCGCCTATTCTCACTTTTTTGTGGCTGACAGAAAGCCAATGCAAGAGCCTCGGCAGGTGTGGTGGATAGGACGTGAGCTCCGATAAGAGTTATCGCGGGCTTGAAGCCCATCTAAGGTTCCGAGTTCTGCAAATATCTCAGCATTTTTGTGGTTAAATTTCACATATTACTCTGCCATAAAAGAAATGATTAGGCAGTCAATAAGTGCTAAGAAATTTCAATAAGTAGAATTAGCTAAGAGCTGAATTACGCTTGTCCAAAGTTGAAAAGGAAAATTATTTTCAGCAAGGCATGAATCATATACGACTTATATCGTCCCAATTATACCTCACATCTTCGCAACTCACTCTATAATTCCAAACGGTGGTACAAATCCTAGGTTTGATGAAAGTTTTTTAGCCCTAGAGCGCCCATTACCAGCTGCTCCGCCGATGATTCGCGATGTCGATTCGGGACGACGAGACATCGCCAAATCGTAGTCAACCTAGAAATGATGTACTAATTTAGACCTTGTGATAAAAAGTACTAGATGATAAAACATTTGAAACTGTACAGCGCACTCATTTGTAGCGTTACAAATACATATCTGATTCCAATTTGGACTGTACTTCAGTCAAACTAAGTCATATGTTCAATGATGCTGAGATATTTGAAAAACTCCGGACCGCAGATGTACGCGGTGGGGAACGAAACGAAGAACCCGCATGGTGTGGTGGTGAACTCGTTACTCCCCAGAAAGGACAATAGTGCGTTCGTTCCCCACCGCATACACCTGCGGTCCGGAGTTTTGCAAATATCTCAGCATCATTGATGTTATATTTCGCAATATACCCTGCCATTAAAAAAGAGTAGGCAGTAAATAATAAGCTGAAATTAAGTCACAGGTCTAAGAGACTTGTCAGCAAGACTTATACGCCAAAAAATGACATATTCAAAGATTTATCACAAATATCTTTGCTTTAATGGGTCTAACAGGAATTGCGGTTCTCTTCATTTTTTGTAACCTTGATGATATTTTCAAATTATTCTACTATTACTGTTTACACAACTACTACTTCCAAAAGTCCGCTCCGCTTTTTTTGCCAAAATTCACACAAAAGCAATAAATCAGATTGTTCCGTTTTCTAGGAGCAGTACACAACACATGACTCTGTTCCCATATGACACAGAGAATAGCACATGCACTACATAACCACTTTAGGGTACCATTCGACCATGTTCCGTTTAGGTAACCTTCACCGCGCTTAGACGGTAATGTTTTCTGCTCGATGTTGTTTTACACGGTACATTTATCACCACTAGCTTCATTCGCCTCAGAAATGGATCGATTTCGTTAAGTCAGAGAAGCAAATCACAATCAGAAATAACATCCACTACTTTTTTCTCTGTTGCAGAACCTGAACTTTCTCAAGAGGCGCGTGTGGCGCAGTGGTGGCATGCGCCCAGCATTACCCATGGGATCGATCCGCGCGTACAAGGCTCACCAAGGCTTCTATCGCTCCGGTACCAGGAAATTAGTACCAAATTTGGCAAGCCACCGCAGGTGATTGTAAAGGCCAGATATGAATTCAAATTACCTTCAACGCTGCTTAACGAAGTCGAATGCATGGGTAATCCTTCAGGGATTGATCAACACCAAGGGCATTATCCTTTACTCTTTACTTTTTTCTTCGAATAATTTATGTAGTACCCGCTTTGCTGATCGCTCCAAACAAAATGTTTTATGAAAAAGTCTCACATAGAATGGTAACAACACCCTCTTCATATACAGAAAATAAAAATACATTATATTAAAAGTTGGAAACATCGAAACTGCAACATGATGCCGTCATGTGATAAGAACGAGATATAGTTTTGCACTAACTCAACAGTGAATATTTAAAACAAACGCTCCTTTAAGCTCGATCTTAAAGCAGGACCAACCAATCGTTAAAAGATTTAAATGTGTTCATAAAAAACGCCAGTTATAACGAAACCTCCACGAATCTCCCTCATATAAGGAATCTCGAACTGGTTAGTCGCGATGCTACGTGGCGCGTCCCCAGATGGCGGATGGGGGGTTAATCGCGGACCAAAAGCAACCTTTGTTTCCCTGAGACGCAGGTGGATCCAGGGAATGGACTCCCTGTTTCTGCTGCGCTGATTTGGCATAAACTTTCTGTATTTGCTAGGCGTATTCATGCATGCGTCTGTGGGTGCATTCTTGATTATGCGAATTGTATTCTACGAGTCAATTCGCCCAAAAACCTGCAATCCAATGACTGAGAAGTATATGGGAGGCGGTTAAGAGCCGCTACCAACAAATAAGCTCCATGTCCACACTGGGATAGCCTGGCAAGCTACCCGTGAGTATACCCAGCCACCACGTTCAGAGCCCAGTAAGCTATACGTGGGTATCAAAAAATGCTAAACACAATAAAAAGAACGGGACTCATTCCTCTGACCCCGAAAAAGCCCCCAGTTTCGCAGCGCTGGGTAGGAAGAGTATACGGAAAGGCTGCTGAAATCTCAGGGCCAGCGGAAGCTGCCTCGATTTTAAAGAACTATGGCGACGATTTGTACCTACAATGCATGTACACTAGTTTCCGAGTCCTCGATAGAAGACTTGCTCATGCAAGCCTTGAAGGATAAGGTACGACGTCATCGGTCTGGACGAGACGAGAAGACGCCAACCTTTCAACGCCGTCTATGACACCGGAGAAGAACTGTTCCTTGGAACATGCGACAGTAGAGGAGTCGGCGGGGTTCGCGTTCTCGTCAACACGAGTTTGTCCATGAACATCGATGCATTCGAACAACTAACTACCCGAACCGGTCGTTTACGATTAAAAAGACGTGGATCAATTCCGGTTTTGACAATCTTCGTCGTTTACGCGCCCACATCAAGCAATGATGAAGAAGAAGTCGAAGCGTTCTATATCGACTTGGAGAAGTTCTACAGAAAAGACCACACATTCTTCAATCATTGGAGATTTCAGTGCCAAGATTGGACCAAGAAGAACGTCTGAAGAACGTCACCCACGGATTAGAATGGAACGAACAGGGTGAGCGGCTATCTGCGTTTATCATGGCGACCAAGACAATCCATGGTAACTCGCAATTCCAGAGGCCCCACCCTCAGCGCCTGATGTGGGATTCTCCCACTGGAGAGTACCATAACGAAATAAACCCCATCATAGTAAATAGAAGGTTTTGCCTAACCGATGTCGCTGTTGTTCCAAAATTCTACACAGAATCACACCATCTTCTCCTTCGTGCAAGATTCTATTTCTCGCGGAAAGGACAAAAAACCGGTAACTTCCAAAACCGAAGTCCCGGAACCACCGCAAACTGGGACTTATTCAATTCATTAGTCGGCTGTTGGGAAGATGCCGTTGTCGATAACATCCACGAAAAATACGATCGGCTCATTCAACATTTTCACGCTAACACTATGAAAGCTCAGAGTTCGGAAGCCACCAGGAGACGTCTGTCTCCAGAAACACTGGAGCTGATACGCCAGCGTGGAATCGCACGAGCTGCAGGCAACCGCGAACTAAGGTTCGAACTTGCAAAGCAATGCAGAGAGTCGATAAAAGAAGATCTTAGAGAGAGAAGAATAGCAGTAATGGCCGAAGCTGCAGAGGCTGGGAAAAGCATTCGCAAAGCCCACCGAAGCGTCGTCAGTTAATGTTCATGAAGCACGGATTGGTTTCGCATGCCCCATTCACGCTCAACGGAAAGAAGATCTCCGAATGCTCCAGTTATGTCTGTCTGTGTCGGAAAATCAATATGATGAACGACTTATCTCCAGAGCTGAGCAGAAGGAAACGGGCGGCTTGGAGAGCCTTCAAGAGAATCGAGGATGTAGTGAAGATAACAAAGAACACCCGACTGTGTGCCCACGTTTTCGACTCAACGGTAGCTCCTGCCCTAACGTATGCCTCAGAAACCTGGTCGCTGCGTAAGCAGGATGAAAGCTCACTCAGCGTTATCGAACGCGCAGTCGAAAGGACGATGCTAGGAGTATCTCGTTCCACACAAGTAAGGGATGGGATCCGGAGCTCCGATCTGCGTCAACTATCAAAAATCAAAGATGCCTTTCTGTACCCCAAACAGTATAAGCAAAATAAGGTGGGCCGGACACGTAATGCGTATGAACGACAACCGATGGACAAGAGCCATTAGCAACTGGATTCCTCGGAATATTACACGTACTGCAGAAAGACCACCGACCCGATGGTCAGAGTTCTTTATGAAAAGCCTAGAAGAAAGATGATGCTCGACGAGTTCCTAGAGCGAGCAGAACCCACTGGGCTACTCTTGCACTCGACAGGGAAAAATGGAAGATTTACTGGCACTTGCTCTAGTCACTCGACGATCAACGAGACTACGGGTGATACAGGTGACAGGTGATAATGAAACCTTTGTGAGAGGTTGTGCAGTGACTTATTCATGAAGGAAGAAAAGGATATAAAAATATAAGAAGTTTAGCATTGACCTCCTCAGGATGTGTAATGCATATAACTTCACTAGACGTCGTAAGCGTGATTGAATATGTTTTGTCCTACGTAATACCTTGTAGGTGCGTAATATTTTACCAAGTCGGTGTTCTGAGCTTTCTTGATAAGTCTGGTACCAATAGCAACTGAGCCCGGAGAGATGAAAGGCTTAACTTGAACCGGGAGGAGGGACCCAAACGAAGGCCATGTGTGTGTTACAGGGTACCACCTTAAGCACTGCATTCCGTGACCTGATTCACTTGTCGGATAACGAATCCCTGACAATAGTCAAACGGTAGCAAACTTTTGCAAAAATCTCTGTAAAAAAATTCATAAACGGTTTAAACAACGTTTTCAAAAATCTGAAAAAATCTTTGCAAACCGTCCAACCACATTTAGTTTCACATGTGTTTTGACTCAACTTTTGCAATAATTGTTAGATTAGACTGTGAAAATATAGAACTAGAAAAGCAGACTTTTTAATCCCTCTATACATACACTGCCTTAAAAAGTAAATTCCCACTTTTAACAAAAACAAAAAAAACTCTTCCACTTTCAAACCGTGAAGCCAAACCATTCTATCCTAATGCGTACTATTGTAATGTTATTCATATTTTTTGGCCCAACTACGATTTCAGATAAACGACCACTGTATTCAAAAAAAGTGAAAATCTCATTCTAGCTTAAAAGATAAAGGATAAAGCTCTCGTCGTTGACCTGAGAGATGCGCCATGAATTCGACTTCATTAAGCATCGTTTGAAGGTGATTGAATGCATATCTGGCCTTTAAAATAACGCGCGATGGTCTGCCATTGTATCGAGCCAGTGCTGCTATCCTCCCAGACAAGTCTGGTATTAATTTGCTGACTGCTGAGTTGATTCTTCAAGTATTGTTATCTTACATTTGTCGGACAAATTTGTCAGGAAAAAATATGATGAAAAAGAAACATTACGAGAACCTAACCTCTTTATCGCGATAAAAGCACAGATCCCTCACGTCTAGAGTCTCACCGAATCCCACATGGTCAATCAGTTTGAATTCGTTACCGGACGGCAAAATACCAACACGTTCAATACGTATAATGAGTGATTGAGGTAGCTGAAAACTCTTACATATGTTTAACAGCATTATAAAGAAGCTCATAGTCAATCGAATAGAACAACATAAAACAATAGTGGATTCTTAGGGGTCTATGTTTACCCCAATTATCTAGCAATAGCTGACATATTATAGCTGACCACTTAAACGTTTCGTAAGCACTTTATCTTTGGATAAACGACTAAAACCAACAAGTCACTGGAAAAAACAGTTTTATAACTCAAGATGTCCAAAACAGAAGTAAACGACAGAGATAGTGTAGCAATGGCGATACTACGCTGTTGATGACATTATAGTTCACATAGAGAACGCACAATCACATCCCATTTTTTTTAGGATAGAAAATCATCTCCGTGCTGCCAGTTCATTTAAGTCACCAAAAAGCGGATAGCTATAGTTCTGTTTCCTGTGAGAGGAACATAATAAGATTAAATCTTATGTATCAATGGATAGCTACTTCTTCCTTCTAAAAATCCTCTACGACATTTTTCAGCCCTTCTAAAATTATGGGGTTGTACGCAGCGAAGAACAAAACGCTAAGAGTTTTTCAGACCTGAACGAATAGTAGTCAAAAGGAGAAAAGTCAAGAAGATTTTGCCGACTAGTCAATGCCATGGATGATATAAAGGTGACGTAGTGAAACGCAGCACCTTTCCTGGTAACTCATTCCGACCATTTCTAGCCGACTAAACGCTTCGATGAGACAAAATTCGAATGTACACCTTCTTTTATGCTTTATAGACGGAAGTTTGACCTAAATGATATGTTGCGTCTCAGGAAGCTAAAACCTATGATGAAAATTGTATTTTCAGTCAGAAGACTAATCTACGAAGATTCTTGTCAAATAACCCATGACTAACCGTCAGCAGTAAAGGACAACAACCAAGAGTTATTTCATTATAGTAACAAATCTCTCACGTCGTGGGAAAACTCGGAACTCATAAAGCTGCTCAAGTGTGAGCATTTCTCAAACCCAAAGACAAATACTATTCCGGTATGACGGCACGCCTACCGTTGCTAAACCCTATATATACAGACGCCGCGTTAATTGGTGTTCGGCTCCTCGTTGAGGATTATCAACAACAACAAGATGAACCACTTGTCTACAATTTTACTAATCTCAACAGTATTTTTGATCACACCGGTAGGTTTATGTTTTAACTGACATAATTTGTTCAAACTAGAGATACTTTTATTAAGCACATCTAGATGCCAACATTTATCAGAATTTCATGAAGACCCTATCCTTCATATTCAAATTGCTATATCCCAGTCCGTACTAGAATCGGAACTGATTAAGTAGATCAGTTTACCAGATGATGGCAATCACATAATACCCATACATTCAACTATATGTAGGCAGCATAAAAAACTACAATTACTAATCAGTAATTGTTGTTCTATGCAACTCTTTTTTAGGCCAAGATCATTCGGCGGAAGCGATACTGCGATTGTTCGCAGAGTCAAGCGCAATGTTTCTGTATTCCCATGGAACTACAGCACATGCAGTGTACCTGTACAGGTCAACCGTTACAATCAAATTGCGGATGCGCTCCTGCTTTTTCACAGCCAGTTCAAATCGCTACAGTACAGTGTGAACCAGCATGTCAACAGAGCTGTGCACAACAATGCGTCAGCTCCACTTTGAACACCTGTCAACAAAACTGTCAAAGCAATTGCCTGATTAGCTGCGTTCCACAATCCCAACCATCTGTAAGCCAGTGCCAGCCGTCATGTTCCCAAGTTTGCCAGCAATCGTGTATCGCTCAACAGCAACCTGCTACGTTTTGCAGTAACCAGTGTCAATCGCAGTGCTCAAATGCTTGCATTGACACCCAACCACAGGTTGATTTGCAAATTAGCATTCCATTACAACAACAAAACCAGCCTTGTCTACCGGCATGTCAACAACAATGTCTGCAATCTTGCTATGTTCAGCAGCTACCTCACAATACGTGTGACAATCAGTGTCGTTTGCAATGCAGCAATATCTGCGTCACTCCTCCAGTTGCGAATAATTTACCTCCTATTACTTATGAGCAATGCCCACTGATTTGCCAACCCGCCTGTCAGCCATCCTGCATTCAGGAGCAGCCTTCACAAACCCTCCAAATGATAGTGCCAGTTCCTTCTCAGGATGCTACATGTATGCCTCGTTGTCAAACACAATGCCAATCGACTTGTGCTATTCAACAACAGCCTGTAGCATCATGCTTAGACTCTTGTCAAGCCCAATGTGCTAATGTCTGCTTAGCTGCAACGCCACAAGCTCAGGCTTCGGGCCCATTATCAACTCAATGTGTACCGGCATGCATGCCTATTTGTGACAACAGCTGCATAACCCAACAATATATCTGTGTACAGCAGTGCCAGGCACAATGTGCTCCTGCCCAACCACCCATACAGTGCCAACAGTGCCAAACAGCTTGCAGAGCACAAGAGCCACAGGTAATTCAGGTTGTTCTTCAAACGAATATGGCCCAATCTGCACAATGCCAACCTCAATGCGAGACCATCTGCATCGCCCAGTGTACCCGACAGCTGCAACCGTTAGCTACCTGTCAACCTGCCTGTCAACAGAGCTGTGCGCAAGTTTGCTCTCCAGTTATTGCACAACCTGTCGTCACCGCATGCGAACCAATGACTACAATCCAAGCCTGCAAGTGTCAAATAGGATACGCACCATGTAACAGAGGCACTCAGTGTTGCTTGCTTCGATGAACATGATGTGAAGGACATTTCTCATCAAAATGTACATACATATAGTACAAAACTGATAGGCATAAGTGATCATATCATAGTTTTTTCTTCATAGAGACAACTCTTGTACTATTTTTTGTTTCTAGAAACGATACAATGTAGTATGTTTTGTTTGTTAAGAGGATCATATTGCAGTATTTTTGTCTACAGAGACGTTAAAGATGCCCACACCGCATTGATATAAATGTGAGAAATCTTTGCCACACAATGAATCCATTTCTACTGAAGTCTCAAATCTAGACTTACTGAAGTGTTTTAGAATTAAAAGGCGTATTCGAAAGTCCATGAATGTAGTTGCTTAATAAATAAATCAACACAAAATAAAAGACCGGAGAAATCAGTCAGACCAAGTTTTCAAGTTGGAAACGAAATAGCCTGAACTCTTTTTAAACAAATTTGAAAGATTTCCAAAAAATAAAACGGTCACAGCAAAAAAAAAAGGCAGAAATTAATACGGAAATGGTATAAAGCAAGTTTTTACAAGAATTATAGGTGATAACATGAATGCTTTTGACTTCACAGTTCAATCAACCTACTTCGGAGCGCGTTGCGCAGTTGTCAAAATTGGTGCCAGTCTCTGTCTGGGACAAAAACGCTGGCTCGGTACATCAGTAGGCCACTGCAAGTCATTAAGTAATTCTACTCCAGGAGAACCTGTTGAAGTGCTCGTAGTTATGCGAAGTCTTGCAACATACAGCTTTGCTAAGTACTCGTGGATATATTTCCGCAAAAAAAAGCAGCACAAATGGGCCCATTGTAGGACCTCTTAATGACATGGGCCATTAATGGTATTGCCATGAAATGACATAATTTCGCCTCTGTCGTATTATTTCAGATGCCTACATTTTCGTATTCGTCGTAAACGATTAATACCACTGAACAAAAAAGTTCAAGACTAGGGCATTAGGTTTTACTCGTTCATGGTATTCGTTAAGCATGACATTTTATTTTGGGATTTCCGTGAAAAATTCTTACTACTGGGTCGGTGGTCTTCGCGTCCTGTAAAACCCAACAATTAATGTCCAGTATATATATATATATATATATATATAT